CAGGTAAAGAACGGGGCCCTGGGAGCCGTGACGGGCTCCTGTGCGGGTCACCGGCCCCAGGTCATCGTGCTGAAATCAGTGTATTTCTCCTCCATCATCAAAAATGCCAGTGCTGTGGTTAGAGTGATGATGGACGGTGTTTCTGTACCTGTAGAGAGGTGGGGGTGGGTCTGTTCAACCAAGGCCCAAGGGACAGGACAAGAGGAAATGGGCTCCAGTTGTGGCCAGGGCAGTTGAGATGGGATGTGAGGAAGAATTTCTTTGCTGAAAGGGTTCTGAGGCATTGGAAGGGGTTGCCCAGGGCAGTGGTGGAGTCCCCATCCCTGGAGGGATTGAAGAGTCGTGTAGACACAGTGCTGAGGGACATGGGTTAGTCGGGGACTGGTCAGTGTTGGGTTCATGGTTGGACTCGATGAGCTTCAAGGGCTTTTCCAACCTTAGTGATTCTCTGATTCTATATTGTCAGCTGCTCTCATCAAGGGCCTCATTGGGATCAGAAATACAAATCCACTTCTTTCAGCTGATGAAATCCTGCCCAAGCAGGTGGTAAAAACCAACGTGCATCGTACAGCTCCTGCCCTGCGTGTGCTGGTCTGGCCGGCAGCGCTCACCGCAGGGCGGTAGTGAGGATGGAACTTCTCCTGGTGCTAAAAGCACATTGTGCAGTGACACCACAGCACCTCAGCTTCGAGAAATTCAATAATAATGAGGCCCCAACTATTTCCCATTTCATTGGCTGTTCTCTGTAAGAGGAAAAACAAGGGGGGAGGTTGGAGGACTGGGGGGAGTTCTGAGAATCAGGGAGAGGATTGTAACTGGAGGCAAATGTTTTAGGGGAAGCTCTTTAATGTGAGTCTGTCATGGTGCTGCAGTCTTGTGTCCTAAGAAAAAGGGAGAAATGAAGAGCTTTAAAAGAGGATTAAGAATTGGCATTTTATTGTAAAAATGGAAGGAACTGAAAAGGCACCAGCTTATTTTTCTGTCTGTTGGGCTGTGTCTGAATGAAGAAAGGAAAAATAAAGGTGTAGCCTTCTTGTAAGGGAGAGGATAGGAGGATTATAATTTAAATTGTAAATAACATTTAATGCTGTTTACATGAGTCTAAACAGGCTTTCATTTTGCTACTCCTGTTATGCTTTTCATTTTGCTTTATAGACACACAGATCATTGTGCAGAGAAGTTTGTTATTTTCCCACATTTCTGAATAGCTGCTTCTAGGAAAGGTGTGTAACAATCAGCAATTAAAATCCTGCTGTGATGTAAAGTCACTCTCTGGAGAAATGTAATCAGTACTCGTACCCATGGAATAAATATGGGTAATCATAAATAGTTTCTCTAGGTGCTGTAGTTTAATTTCATTCCTGACTGTGATTAATGAAGCATATGAGCCTGGAAGTTTGTTGAAATGGTTTGCCTGCCCTCCTGTAAGATCCTGTATTCATTGGGAGCGATATGAAATAACTCACTTGCACAGAGCACAGCTGTTTCTAGCCCTGTGACAAGTCAGCTGCCATCCCCCGGCCTGTCGTCCTCGCTGCCAGCGGTCCCGTGGTGTGAGGTGGTTCTGTGCCCTGTACAGCTCTCCTCCTTCCCTCCAGGTTTCATCGTCGCTGCACGCACGAGCTGTGTTTGTAAAACCCTTGTTGTGTGGTGTAAGGAAGGGCTGGAGCACAGGGGAGTGCTGTACTGCGCGTGAGGAAATGCTGGATGCTGAACGCAGTGTCAGACTGTGCTAGTGCACATACAGGTGGTTTAAGTTGGAATTTAGCAATTGCATGCAGGTTGCTTTTCTGTTCCATGCGTTCCCTGTTGCAGCACACAGCCTCTTTTAAAAAGGACTTGTCACTTGAGCTGCTGGTAGGAGGCATACCAGTGAGAAGAAAAATATTTAACATCTTTTCAAGGCTACATATGTTTTTTGCCTTCTGGTCTTTCACATCTGAGACAAGAGGCTCTCGCTGCATATTTTCTTTCCGTGTCAGCTAGAAATAGGCTCAGCTGCTCTAATTCCTCCACCAGTGATGGAGCAGCACGTTGCTATAGAGATCTGTCACCTTCTGAACAGCAGAGTCCAACGATTCCTAAATGAAGACAGGCAGTTTTCTTCTTCGTTGTGTCCAGCTGTTTTTGAAACAGCAGTTAGGTAGATGTGGAGTGATCAGGCTGGATCACAGCTGTAGCTGAAGAAACTAGGGAGGTGGTTTTGAGGGGGTTTGTTTGTTTTTTGGTTGGTTTGGTTTTGTTGGTGGGGTTTTTTTTTCATTTTTCTAGAAGAGAGCAGACTTTATCCCTTTGCTTATCTCCACTTGCATCTGTCAGATGTCCTGATGAACCATATTGTAGTTCAGAAATTGCTCAGTTCTATCCCCTGCTTAACCAGTTACCCAGTCCATAACCCGATATAAGCTCCTTAGAACTTTCACACATTAACCCAGATACGTTTGTTTGTGTTTTTTGGGCTTCTGAGAATATGGAACCTCATTCCCATTTTGAAAAACCCAGCAACATGCTTGTCTATATTCTTAGGAGCTCTGATGCTCCTGAGGATGAGCTTCCTCCCCAGTGATATAGCTGCAGTGATATGTAACTGAGGGATTAGGTGACTTAGGGTTTTTTTTAATGTCCCACAAGACAGAAGTGATGTGCAATTCAGATAACACAGTGTTTTCATTTGCTTCAGGTATTGTCATTTGTAATCCCCACACAGCTCCAGAGAGTGACACACAGGGCGCTTCACAGGCTCTTCCACACAAGGTATTGCACTTCTGGTTTATGCTTTTGACATGATTTTTTTTTCCTGGTATTTCTGGCCACTATTGGTGACCTCCTGCCACCATCAGAGCTCTCAGCATTATCCTGAGATATTCTCTCTTCATTAGAGGTGCTGGTCAGGGATCACAGATTGCCTTTAAGGTTTGCCACACCATTGTCTTTCTGTTCCTTGTTTCTTGTTGAGAAGATGGTACCCTGAAATATTTGAACATATTGACAAAGAAAGAGAATATGGCTCAGTAGCTTCCAGTGTAACAGATGTTGGTCACACTGGTGGGAGTCTGCACCCACAAGAGAATTACACCAGACTGTCTGGCAGCTGCAGGATGAGTTCAGACAGAGCTAGCGCTCTCCATCTTCTCCCTCAAATCCCATTAGTCTTAGTCCAGCAGCTTGGATGTCCAGGTGGCTGAAGGGGAAGCTGCACAGCTGCCAATGTGCAGCCTGCTGCATTAAGGTGAATTTTGTAGTGTCTTGTAAACTTTGGTGCTTTAGGATCTGCTTCAGGAACGACTGAAATACTTTTCCTCTGGGGGCAGCAACTCCACTATGACAGACACTTCAGGGGCGTAACAGCTACAGCTGTTGAATGTTTTGTTGCCTGCTGTGCAGATTCTCTGCTGTTAAGTTAACACAGCCCAAGAGAGAGTGGTTATGCTGTCAAATCCACAGGCAGCAGCAGAGCAGTTATCTGGTGAGCCTGGTGTGGTCATTGCTAGATGATGCTGTGCTGGAGGCACCGTCATCCTCCCGCGCACCCTTCGACTGCATCGCCTCATTCAAGCGAGAGATTTCTCAGGCCATGCAGAAGTCCAGTGAGGAGCAGCACTTGAGGGTGTCTTCTTATAGCCCTGCAGTTCAGAGGAGACTCTGTAGGGTCCTACAGGATTGCAGACAGAAATGGTGCAGGAGAGAGCAGCAGAGAGCTCGTCTGCAACGGACTTGGCGCTCTCTTCAAATCCACATTACTAGTTACATAAGTTTAATCATAGAATCATAGAATCATAGTTACTTAAAACCTGTCATAAAAATCCAGCAAACTGATGTAGAACGCAGAGAACTGTGGTGAGTGAACATTGCTCTCCTCACGCCGGGCTTATCTCAGCATCTCTTTGCCAGCTGCTGGACGCTGTTGCTCGGTGTGATGCATCCCAAACAAACCTGCGTCCCGAGCAGCTGTGCACCGTGCCCAGCAGAAGCTGTGTTCTGCTGACAGGTTGGAACGAGTGTTGGCCATTGCCAACCTCCTGCCATGCTTGTTTCGTAATGGCTGCTTATATTATATTATTACAGAGTTTTTTAGGATTACCTTTTACTAGTAATCTTTATTTAATCTTAATTAATTTGATGTAATACTTATTTGCTTTCAGCTTATTTTCATGCTTTTCAATGTGCTTTCAGACACTGCACACAGCAAATGTCTTCTGGCAGCATGTTTTATGGCCTATTGCTGTGGCACATTTTATCAGCACCAAGGGTGCTTTGTACTTGACTCTACTGTTGGAAAAAAAACCCTCCAAAGGACGTGACAATAACGGAAGTGAATTTAGCTGGCATATTTAAAGGAGAGTATGTGGGAAGAAGAGAAGGAGAAGCCGTTGGATGGAGAAAACACTATTAATATGCAATCCATGCTGGCCTGAAAACCTAAAAGAGGTGTCTGCTTGCATTTGGAAAGTCTCTGCTGATCACCTCTGAGTGTACTTGACCTGTTAATCAGGATGCTGAGTATTAAATAGACCGTCTCCTTTCTGTTACAGGAGCCGTTTGTTTGTTGTCCTGCACGTAGCCTTGCAGGCCGCAGTGTATGGGGAATACTCATGGGAAGTGTTTGTTTACTGCTGGGAGCTGCAGTTCCACCTCCTCCTCCTGCTGCTGCCCTACCTGCTGCTGGCTGGGAACATGGCCTGCTTCATTCTCTGCTCCCGGGCCGACCCTGGTAGGCTCGTGCTGACTGTGAGCTGCAGCTGTTTCAGAACAGAACCTAAAATATGTTAGAAATACTGTGACTTTTACTGTGTTTCTTGTTTCTTTCACAGGTATAATAACAAAATCCAACCATGCATCGTTGGTGAAGATGTATGTGTATGATGGTGTATTATTTCAGAAAGGCATCGTGTGTCCTACGTGCGACATGGAGAAGCCAGCCAGATCAAAACATTGCAGTAAGGATCGTAACCTCCTCGATAAGCCAACAGTAATACTCTCCTAAACGAATTCTCCACCAATAACTGCAGTTCACACTACGTCTGTTCTGTTACCCAGCTCGATGCACACGGGATTGTGTCTGTTTTACTGGGCTGCCAGATCACAGCTGCCCTTTGTCCATCCATGGAGCTGCTTTGCTGCTGTTCCTTCTCACAGAAATTCCCAGTTCCCAGGGTATCACTGTGGGTCAGGAACAGGCGAGCTTTTGAGCATCTAGAAGTTAAATGAAAAATGGTCACCTGTCAAGACCTGAGTTCAGGGTTTTGTTTCTCTTGCAGAATTTGCTGTTATCAGCTAAAATAAAGCTGGGATCTACAAGCTCTACCTTACATATGCTTTGCTAGGCAGCACTGTCAGAGAAACCAAAGTCTTTGAGCTGCAGTCTTGGTGAATAAAAGGAAATGAGATAGATGTCTTTGGTTTTAGTATTGGGTTTTTTAATGATATGCAATTGAAATGAATATATCTGCTTAAAAAGCTGTCAGCTAAATCTAATTCTCAGATGAAAACCTCCCTTAAACTGGTAAAAAATCAAACTGATTACTTAAAAACCAAACAACTGAACTATCTTGTCACTTGCTCCTCGTCAGGTTTCTGCGGTACGTGCGTACATCGCTTTGATCACCACTGTGTGTGGGTCAACAACTGCATTGGTGCCTTCAATGCAAAGTATTTCTTCCTTTACCTCTTCACACTGACTGCCATGGCTGCAACCATTGCCATCCTCACAGCAGCGTTTCTCATCCAAGTGGTGCTGCTGTCGGATATGATGCATGGGACTTACATTGATGACCAAGGCCAAGAGCAAGCTGTTGAGATTCTCTTCCTCATTCAGGTAAGTGTAAACTCTCTGGGTTATTTGCTTATGAAAAGGTTTCTCTCAGTCTTTGCTGTCAGGAATCTTGTAAGTCCACCTGTTTTCACAGGCAGAGTGTGGACAGGCTGCAGGTTTTTTACCAGCTTTACACAGCTCATCAAGTTTAGAAAGCTGCCATTGCAGAATACTTCAAAAATCTGGGCTTTTTCTCACAGCACTTCATTCCACTCTCTCATTCCTCAGATTTCTGTCTCCAGGCTGCTTTCACTCAGCAGATCTGGTTCATAAAGAATGACTTTACATTCCAATGACCATCTACTGTAGTAGGGCTTAGGAAACAGTTGACAAACCTTGAGTGATCTTCATGGAGATGTTAATGCATTGGAATTTAGATACTTGAGTATTTTCTCTCACATAAAGGCAAAGGGTGACTTTGAGTCTGTCTGGCACTTGAGCTATTTGCATTTCAATCTGCTCATCCCTTTCTGCAGTATGGCAGTGTGGTGATAAGTAGTAAATGCTTTATCTGCTCCTCATCCTCGACAACAGATGGTTCAGCCTCAGAGTCTTACAAAGGGATCTTTGGTCAGGGAGCTCGTGTTTAAGCAGTACCACTACCACTCTCCAGTACTGGAATTTAGCTCAGAAAAGAGCTGCTTCAACTGTGTCATGTCAGCAGAACCTGCAGTTGTACCAGATTGGAGCTTCTTCATTTGGCAGTTTGTTTTCAGATCATCTGCATTAACGATTTTTTAATTTAAAAAGCCAACAAAACCCAAACAAGCAGAACTCCAGTATGAAATACAAACATTGGGAGATAGGTGGGTGTAGGAAATGCTCCTGCCTATTAGCAAGGCTTGTGAGGGAATACATTTCTGGAAATCTCTCTGCTTTACTCCAAGACTCAATCAGGAGCTGGACCATCGCTGAGCTGGGTGAGGGCCAGGGCTGTGAGCTGGTTTCTGGGGCTGCAGTTCTGTGTGCCTACAGATGTGTGTTTCAGCTGGCGTGTCGCAGTGCTCACATCCCTCCGTGTGATTTAACGCTCCAGCTTTTAACCAAGTTCTTATTTTCTTTCTTTGCAGCACCTGTTCTTGACTTTTCCTCGGATTGTCTTCATGCTTGGTTTTGTTATTCTTCTCACACTCGTGCTGGGTGCATACTGCTGCTTCAGTCTGTACTTGGCCTTAACCAACCAAACTTCCAATGAGTGGTATAAATCCAGAAGATACGGGTGTTCCCACTGTCTGACATTGCAGCCTTGTGACGGACAAGTTGTCTACAAAAACATTTATTCTAAAGGAATCTGGATGAATTTAAAGGAGATCTTTAAGCCTTGTACAGTGTTGGAAGGGAAGAAGAAAATGTGAAGATGTTACTCCCCACAGAGCATTTTTAAGCTTTCTGTAAGGCTTTATTTCAGCAGTGTGCTCTGATGCCCTAGACAACGTTTGTAAAATGAGTTCTGTGTTTCAATTAAGTAATTGGAAACTATGTTTTCATAAAGCCAACTAGTCTTTAAAAAAACTAAAGAGTTCTGTTGAGTTTATCTGTAACACTCCTCGTGTGACAGGGGCTGTTGGTCTTTTCAGACCCAGTCCCAGTGTTGAAGCTGTGCTGGAGGCAGGTTCAGCTCAGGAACAGAAGACACAAGGAACTTTTTTTAACAATTACTGTTTGTCTGCTGCATTACAGCACCGTGTCATAGGCAAACTGAGTTCCCAAGTTACTGTGGTACCTCTTGAGTAGATCTTCCTGCAGGAGACTTTACAGGAACATGTAGAAGTGGTGAACATCTGAATGCAGGTATTTGTTAACGATTCACAGGTTTTCTCCCCCAGTAGTAACTCTCAGCTGACTGTCTTCAGCTGTGAGTCACTATTTGCAGCCATATGCTGATCAACAGCCCCTCAGCAGAGCACTGTTTAAGATACTTCACTCGATGAGGTCTCTGAGGTTCAGTTTAGTCCTCTTGTTTCCTTGTTAGAGGGAGCAGTGGTGAATTTGCTGGTATGGAGAGGGAAGTCTGGTCCATCTGACTGAAGTGAATCTTCTTCTCTGTGAACAAAGAGCTGCTGTGAACTTCCAGGAAGTTTCATCTTTTTGTAAGTACCTTTGTTTGGTAAATGATTAACCCATTACTGTTAATATGTAGAATAGGTTGTGTGTATTTAGCTGGAAATAAATGTGATTATTATTATAAATGGCAGAATCTTAATCTGCAGAAGCCATGTTCTCCTGCAGATTTCTACTAGTGTGGAGCACCTTAATTTCAGAAAGAAAACAACTACAAGTGCTACTTCTTGCTAAATCTCTTTGTCGATGCCTGTTTTTAGCTTGTTCAACATAAGATGCCATTTCAGCCTTAGAGTCATGAAAATAGTAGATTTCTGGACAAAATTTCAGCATCCTGTAAAGGGTATCAGAAATTTGATATTGAGCTCTGCACATAGAGGTCCTGGCAGATTAGAGACTTAATCCTTCTGGCATTTCTCATCATCTTTATGCCACTGTTTGACAGATCTGCTCACAGCGAGAGGCTCAGCTGTGTCTTTAAGCATTTCTTTGTATTTTGGGCATTTTGCAAAGTTGCAGAGGCTGTTTCTAGGGCTGTCCACCTGCAGTTGCTGAACAGGCCACTTCAAAAGCACAGACAGCAGTGACACGATCTCCCACTCTGTCCAGGGATTCTCTAGGTGGACACTGAAAGGCAATTCATCAGTGTCCCTCAAGAAAACCCTCTGCCTTAATGGCAGAAGACAAAAGTAAACTTACAGCTATGCAAGTGGCCTTGAGAAATCCCTCTAACTAGGGATCACTTGAAACATCTCCAAAGCACAGATGCTCTGGCTGCTTTTAGAGGCTTGTCTTGGGAAAACCAGCATGTTTGACTCATGTTTGCAACAATGAGGGTTTCTTCACCACAGTGTTAAGTGGCCCTGTTCTTTCAGAAATTCTTCTGAGGGATAATAGAGCAGAAATTGAAAAAAATATAGTAAGAACTTTAAATAACTTTATTTTTAAAAAATGTATTTATTTACATGCTGAATCTGTACAATATGCCATTAAAACTCCATATATGTTTTTTTTTTTTAAAAAAATCCTATACAATATGGCTTTACACACCAACAGACTAGCTCTCGGAGCAGCCTGTCAGGCACTGCAAGGGTACAGTGACGTGTTCTTTCATAGACCAGTACATAAGGCTACTTGTTCAGGATATAAAATAAAACAAAAATACTGCAGTACCATGCCTTAGGAGGACTAAAGGAGTGAGGTTAAAGGCATGGAAGCTTTTGAGTGGTGGTGGCTGCACACCAGAGCTCCTTGGGTTTGGTTTTCTTGGTTGTTCTAAATGCATACATGAAGTAGTCTCTTATGAGACCCTACGTAATTGCTCATTTTCTGAAACCTTTTGAACACCAGAACACTGCTACTGTCCTGTGGCCAGAGGTAAAAGCTGCACAAAGGATCTTCCTTTATTTACTGGAGGCAGCTGTACAAGATACTGTCCGATGTGGCGTGTGGGTCACTCCCAGTGTGACCACGCAGAGGTTTTAACACCGTTATGTCCATTTTAAACAGAAGCTCTCTGAACAGTTGTAACAGCAAACTCAGGACTGATCAAATTCCCCAACTGGAGAGAAACAGGAAGTTTTCCATTAACATCTGTCACCAGCAGCGTGCTGTTCATTACACAATCACAGTCTGGACTTCCACCTCCCCCTCCTGGGAGGCGATCACAAACTCTCCTGCGTGTTCCATTATCTCAATGTCCTCGGATGCCACCATTGTCACTGTTGCTTCTTCTGTCTCGATGCCACCCTCTGTAGCCAGCACTGCTCCTTCTCCGATGGCAGAAGCCAGCGTCATGGCCACCTGCTCCGTGAGGCTTTCGGGGGTCGCGATGGTGATGGTGTCCGCAGCATCTGTGGTCACCTCGGAGTTTTCTGCCACAGTGACGTTCTGGACAATGATCTGGTGACCAGAGTTTGCTTGATTGACTATTTGTTGTACAACCTTCATGATGTGGCTGTCGACCTTCATGAAGAGAAAAGAGGACATGTTATTTCTCGGTGTACTGTGCTCTGTTACAAGTTCAGACAATTATCAGTGCCTGATGGCCAGCAGGGCAGTACAACAAGCAGCACTGAATTCCAGTTTCCTCCAGCTGTTCACCAAGGTTCTCATCACCCTGAGAACAGCAAACTCCTAGAACATGTTACACCTCATGCTGCTGAAGATGTTTCACCAGCTGGGTACTTCCTACAGAAAGTCAAACTGCTGTTTGTAGAAAAAAATCTTAACAACACACACCCAGACATGTAAACTGAGTGAATTCAGGAGCCCAGCCAGGCTCTGCTGTGGCAGCAACCAT